AGGCACTTGCTGACAATTGTCAGCACTTCTACTCGGAGACATATATTGCCATTGGAATGCTCTTAAAAAATTTTACCAGGAGATGCGAGTTGCTAACTTTTGTTATCCTTGTTAAACCATTTGGTTTTTCAGATGAAGTTGAAGAGATTCGGTAAGTTTGCTTTCGTTATCTCTTCCAAGCCAGTAAATTAAGGATCCCCAGGACGTTAAAGTAGCCTTGTTTAAAGTCCTTGACAGAGACGCAGGAAGTGGTTGATAGATTTTACCTACTCTTCATCTTAGCAACTCCTGTATAATCCACTTGTTGGGACTCGCTACCGTTGGTGCATAGGCGCAATGGCACTGTGCCCCTTTAGTACTCCAGAAAGCACACGAACTGCAGATTTGCTGAAGCCTAAAAGACTTTTCGTTTTATTTTTGTCCAACTAAGGCCATAAAATTCTAGCGACCTTACAGTCTTCGCAGTTAGTTCATAAATTGTTAGTCACCGTATTGATTTCCTCTATTATCCTAAACAGTTTACAAGTCGGTGTATATATTGAGAGGTCGGCCTAACCTGTATGCAGTTCAGAACCTCCTCTGGCCATCTCATCTGCTAGTTCATTTCCTTCAATATTGCTATGTCCAAGTATTCGAAATGTACTAGGCCCAACAAAGAGAGACCTTATGATGTTTGATGCTCATCAGTGCATCACGACATTTTAATACTATCTTAGAATTTAGATTCAATTGCTTTCAGTGCGGCCTATCTACAAAAATCGTGAAATTCGAAGGACGAATTGTACTTTGTTGTCTAATGTTGACCTCTTTTTCGATAACATATATGTCGCCGTGAAAGACGCTGTAAGTAGCAGGGATTCGGTAGCACTGTCTTATCTGCATATCTTTCGAAAAGATACCTGCTCCCGTACCGCCTTCCATAATTTTTTTGATCGTTTTTGCCTATCTAATAGTTTTATCAGTTTCGATCCTTCGCCATGGATGGAGACGCAAGATTATAGAGATGCACTTGAATTTTGTGCCAGACTTCATATGATAAATGATTGTATAGAAAGAGGAATTAGGCTTATGATGGATTATAATTCGATTTTGACAAAATATAAAGAGGAAAAACAATATGTTCTGCAAGTAGTCGAACATTATCATAAAAATTATCCTTCACATAATCAGATTTATGTTATAAAACATAATAAACACAATATATTAATTACTAAAAAAAAGGGTTTTCTTGAAATTATAATTTTTTATAAATAATTAACGAAATCGTAGCATATACCTATTACGTAATTGTGCATGCCAGATAAAAGGTATGAAATAGAAAACAGAGCACAGTCGCTTAACTAATTATTGTGTTTTGCGCATAATTTTTAACCGATTTTGCTCATCCGTATCTTATTAAAAAGATATTTTAATTATCTATCAAATGAGTATATATTAATAACTGTTGAAATAAGATAAACGATAAAAAATGACCTTGAAATGAAAAATTTCTGTTTTTTGTACTGAAAACCCAACTTTGCTCGAGTGGCGCAACGTCATTTTTAATCCTATTGTTCCAAAACTTTGGGAATATCATTTTTTTGGTCAATGGCATATTCCAAGGGGGTGCGCTCATTCAAAACTTCATTTTTAATTTTCCCCCTTATGACGTGAGCCACCCTAGTGGGCCACGTTAACCTGGAAGTTGCACATGACCTTAGTGCTTTCCATCTGTTATTGGCGAGTTGCAGAAAGTAAAGAAAGGTACTCCTTTTGATGGTCTCCAGGGTAATATAGACTGATACCGCCAGTGACGCATCTAGAGAGGAACCAGAGCGGGCTAAACTATCAGCTTTCTCATTCCCTACGATGTTCCTATGCCCAGGAACCCAGATGAGTGTGATATCGGCCAACCGGTTTAGCTCGTCAATTGGTTCTCTACATTCTTTTACTATTTTTGATTTTGTTATAAAGGATTCAAGAGCTTTAATTGCTGCCTGGCTGTCAATAAAAATGGCAACACTACATCTGTTCTCGATGTGGCTTGCAATTTGCCGACAGGCTTCTCTTATTGCTAGGATTTCAGCCTGAAAAACCGTAGCTTCATTAGGTATCCTAAGAGAGATATTTATATTTTTAGATGGTGCGAAGATTCCTGCTCCTGCCCCACCGCTAATTTTCCAGCCATCTGTATATATTGAGATATCGTAATTTGCTTCGAAAGCCGGCCACCATACGACAGCACCATACGTGAGAATTGGTCGTACAATTGCCGTGTACATCCAGTGGGTAATTTCGGGATGAATCCCCCATTTTTGCCAAACATCCTCTTGCAAGAATAGAAAGCTACACATGCCTTCTTGATACGAAGATCGACATTGTGTTTCCAGTTTAACTTACTATCCAACAGAATTCCTAGATATTTGGCTTTTTCCGATAGTTTTAATTGTTGCCCGTTTAGTGAAGGTAACCTGAAAGCTGGTATTTTGGTTTTAGTAGTAAACAGCATCATTTCAGTTTTTCCTGGGTTAATACCTAGTCCACAACCTGTGGCCCAGGTATTTATCTTAACCAAGGCCCTTTCCATAATGTCGCTAATTATGTTAGGGAACATACCTGACACTAGAATAACCACGTCATCCGCGTACGCTACTGCTTTCACACCTATCTTATCTAGAATATTAAGAATATTATCCACGACCAGCAGCCACAGTAATGGTGAAATAACCCCTTCTTGTGGCGTACCCCTGCTGACGTGCTTCGTTTGTGTTATGCTGCCTAGCTTTGATTGAATAATCCTTGTTTTAAGCATAGTAATTATCCAATTTTTAAGCTCTTCCTCTAAACCTATTCTGGAAAGTGAGTCATGAATAGCTTTATTGCTTACATTGTTAAAAGCTCCTTCAATATCTAAGAAGGTTGCCAACGAGTATTGCTTAAAATGAATCGATTTTTCCACAGTACGAATAACCTCATGCAGAGCTGTTTCCGTAGATCTACCCTTGAGGTAAGCATGCTGGGATTTAGAGATTGGAAAGCGTTCTACCTTTTGTCTTAGGTGGAGTTCTATTACCCTCTCCATTGTTTTTAGTAAGAATGAAGTTAGGCTAATCGGCCTGTAATCTTTGGCGGACTCATGTCCGATTTTGCCTGCCTTGGGTATAAAGACTACTTTAACCTGTCTCCAACTAAGTGGTACATAACTATATTTAAGACATGCTTTGTAAATTTCCCCTAACCATGGAACCACTAAGTCTTGTAGTTTTTGCAACATAATAGGGAAAATACCGTCCAAACCTGGCGATTTATAGGGACAGAAACTGTTAATTGAATACCTAATTTTTTCCGCTGTGACTATTTCTTCAGTCATCTGTGATGATGTGCTTGCCAAGGTGATTGAACCGTTTTCTCTAGCATCATCGTTACAGTTTGGGAAATGAGTGTCTAATAGTAGTCTTAGTGTCTCAGTAGAGGTTTCAGTCCATGTACCGTCCTCTTTTTTGAGATAAGAAGGATTTGCACTTTCCTTGGATAGAACCTTGCTGAGCCTAGCAGAGGATGAGGTTGATTCAATTGACTTACAAAATTCCTTCCAGCCATTACTTTTGGCCTTCCTGATAGCTTTCTTGTAAGTTTTAAGACATTCCCTATATTCATGCCAACTATTGTCCTTATAGCTTTCGTTAAACTGTTTTCGTGTTCTCTGCCTGAGATCACTTAATTCTGAATTCCACCAAGGTGGAAAAGATTTTTTGCTCCTACTTATTGGACAAGATTTCTTGTAAGCTATATTAAAAGCTGCCTCAAGATTATATATCCTCTCGTCTAACTTACTAGTAGAGTCTATCTTAATTTGTCTTACTTTATTAAGTTCCACCTTAGTTACCCTTGTAAAAATATCCCATTTTATCTTCTTCGGGTTTCTAAAGGAGATGGTATGATTTGGTTTAATGTTTAAGTTGAAGAGAATCCAACTATGATCCGAAAAGGATTTCTTGTCAGATACCTTCCAATTACTGACTACAATATCTGAATTTTCGGATAGGAGTGTTATATCTAGCACTTCTTTCCATCCTTCAAACCCTTGTGAACTGGGGAAAGTGAAAGTAGGTGTTTTACCTCTATTGCAAATTAAAAGATTTGAATTGTTAATAAAATCAAACAGGTACTCACCCCTGTCATTGGTTTCCGAACTGCCCCAAAGCGTATGCCGCGCATTGGCGTCACATCCAATTAACGTGGGAATATCTTTTGATGTACTTCTGTTTACTAGCGCGACTACCTCTTCCGGAGGAGCATCTCTATCATGTGCCATGTAGGCAGAAGCCACAATAAAATTTTATCCACCTGGCATTTCGATCCTTACGACTATTAGAACTTTATCGGTATACTGTGGACATAAAAAGGCATTAATACATTTTTTAACTAGGATACATGATCTTGGCTTACCATTGTTCCTAATATATAAATTGTTATAATTTTTCAGCATTAGCCCCATGATGTCCTTACCACTGACCCATGGCTCTTGCACAATGCTGACATCGACATCCTACTCTATGAGAAAGATGGCGAGATTGTCCGAGGCGATTTTCGAATGCTGAAGGTTGATTTGTGCTACTTTCAGCATTCGTGCAGGCTTACGAGGTTTCTGAAGCTTCTTCCTGAAGCTTCATACCGTCAAGCAATTTGTTAGCATCCTCTAACTCCTTGCCATCATCATCATTGCCTGTTGGGCGGAATATTTTTATTTTGGTGTACCGTACGCCAAACCTCAGCTTACAGTCCATTTCTTCCAATGGCTTCACGGATTCCTCGTTTATCGCCAGAAGAAGCGTCATATTGTTTTTTTGTGTGCCCTCGTCCTTGATGACTACCCAGTCATTCATTGGCACATTTTGGTTCTGCCGTTGTAGCAGCTGGAGAACTTTCTCATGCTCCATCTTCATAATTGGCAGCCAAATGCGGGCCCTTGGTCTTCTAGGGATATCGTTGGCTGGGACAAGCTTTAGCCTTAAACCTTCCTATGCATCACTTACCTTAGCAATGCAGTTGCCAAGAAATACTTTGGATAGCTGGTCATCACATTTGAAGACCCTGCAACCACGAACCACTTCTGATGAATCAAAGCCTGGTGTGGGGGCGTTTAGATTTGTTAGAAGGTGTTCCATCACCATTTCAGCCAGCTTGGGCTCAATCTCACCCCATTTCACCTTTTTTCCATTGCCGGTAATATCATCAATGAGCGCCACCTGTAGCTCATCCCTTGCTACTTCGTTATATGCCCTTTTCGCACTCGTTGACGGTTTACTAGTAGAACTTGTTCTCGCTACCTTGCTTTTTGAAGTATGGGCCGTCTCGTCCTGAGACCGATCCCTCTTCATTGCCTTTGCGGGTTTTGATAGGGTGGCCTGGTATTCGTTATACTCATCGACCACCTTCTGATATCGTACTTTGTCTGTACGGTCAAACGTCTGTTCTTTACCTTCAGCTTCATTTTTAGCAATCTTGCCAAGAATGAACATGGCCTTCTGGTACCTTTGACGTCTGATCTTTGTCTCAGACTTTTTTGATTTCTCGGCAGGCGCACTATGGCTGGCGCGCTTGTCTGCCGATTTTACTGTTATGTGCGAAGTAGGCGCAGTGCGGCTGCTACTGCCTACTTTGGGTAGTATGGCGGTTTCGACTCGCTCGTTTTCTTGGCTTGATGCCAGGAGCTCGTCTTCGGAACTGGTACCTAGTTCCTTGTTAGTTTTTTGTTTGTTCAAATTTTTTAAAGAGTCCATAAATGTTCCCACGAGTGTAGGGGAAAGGAAGGTCGTCCGAAGCATCGCCCCCTTTACTTCAGAAAGGCTGAATTGAAACCGGAGGTCGCCAGGTATCCGGAGTCCACCGTTCTAAGACACACTTACGCAGTGCCATTCATCCTTGGGCACGGTCGTTCATACACCCAGGATTGCGGGTTTTATCGAGTTTTCCTCTCTAGATCCGCCATAATATGTGGCTCTGCACCACGTATGGACGGTCTTGGTTCGTCATAAACCCTGGTCCCCAGACACCTAGTGGACCTACACACTTCCATTCATTCTAAAAACACAAAGAACATACATGCATACATAGAGACAAAGACACACATACATGCACATAAACTACAGGACAACACAACTACTGGTCGTTCTTTGTTGTACCCACAAGCCAGACCGACAAAAAGGTCTTCTGACCATTGCATAGACAATGAGCAGGAGACCCAAAGTCAGCAAGCTTGCCTGTAGCTAAGCCCCTACACCACGTCAAGGTGCCTACCACGTAGGGGATAGTTTTTGCATATTTGGGAATGTTTTTGTGAAACTATTAAAACTTAAATAATAATAACTAATAAATTTTTTTTTAAATTAATTTTTTATATAATAGTATTAGTTGGAGTATTTCCTTTTATTTCTAATCGAAAACATTTATTATCTTTGTTATTAAGTTTAGAATTTATTGTTTAAATTATTTATTTTTTATATATAGGTATATAAATAGATTTTATTAAATCTATTTATTATATATAAAAATTATATAAAAATAGATTATTGGAGTTTGGATTGATAACCCTAGTGAATTACATCTAATAAGTGCACGCACAGAAAAGTTTAATGAAAAATTTAAGTTACATCGTGAGAAAGAAATGACAATTGGTGGACTATTGAAAATAAACGTTCTAGTAATTACTACGCTTTCGAATCTGGTGCTAAAAGTTGATAATAATATAATTTTATTTCGTTAAGACTTCAGTGGACAAAGTAACATTGTATTTAACAACAGTAAAAATCAAATATACACAAAAGAGCTTGCGATCAGTGGAACTTAAAATTGTATTCAGCGTTAAGCTCGATTAAAACTTATAGAAAATAAATTAAGCATAAAGCTCAGAGTGGTTTATGTCTGTGCTGTCGGGTTTGTGTGACAAACCGACTTTTAAGCTTTAAAAGAAAACACAACCAGAACGTAGAAACTTAAAAACTTTGCAATTATATTATAATATTGAACAAAACAAATATATAAAATATATATAAAAAGAAAAAATGCCAGTTGAAAGATCGCCACCAACAGATGCTATAAATGCCGCTAGTAAATCGCACCTGTGCACACCGAAAAGGCAATCAAAGAGGCAAGAAAAGCGTATGCGATCAAAGCTATCGCCAGATTTTTCGCTCGATGATGTTATGAAAAATAAAAAAAAAAAAAGTGACGTGGAGGCAATTTTCCGAGATAAAATGGCAATGACAAGTATTATAGTTCGAGACACAAAAGTGATATTTGAAAAGAAAAATAAAATGGGTGTGATCGCAGAGTTGGAAGCTTCTGAAATGGCAAAATTTGTCTTAAAAATTGTAGAAAATTGCATGGCACTCGGATTTATATTGAAAAGGACTTAAGCTTTACTAGACAGGAAAATAAATCAGCTTTATTACAGCTGAAGAGAGACCTTGAAGCCATCAAAAAGACACAAAATTTATGTTAAAAATGACAACATAAATATATCAGGAAAATGGATGCAAGTTAAAACCCTAAATTTATATAACGGCATTGCGCCACTTTTTAATACTTTTGTATCTTTAGAATGCGTACTTAGATATTGCGCATTAAAATATCTCACGACGCCTACGCGCGTTCGTTCATATAAACACATTCAGGCTTAATGCCTATACTACATATGGCAACAATGTTGCAAAGGAAAATAAAATTGTTTTCTTTAAAGATGCAACTAAGTTACAGAAAACGTATCAAGTATCATTTGAAATACTTGATCAATGAATTGTTCAATCATTATTGGACACAAATATCATCATCTGGCTACTGACGCCAAAGCTAAAGACGCTGACGAGGTGCTTTAGCAAATAGAAGCTCCAATCCTATTGGATGGAGAAAAGACGCTTCTAGAAAATTCTTAGGAATTTTAGAAGCTTGAATTTAATTGGATAAAATCCAATTCCAGAATTTCAATAACGACTTCAGTTATTGAAGAATAAAACTTCAAAAGTCAGTCTAGTTCGAGCATTCAAGAAGTTAAGCTTTAAATCCGACCTATTCGGAAAACTAAATTTATAACATGTAATTCATATATATATTTAATATAATAAATATATATTTTTTTAAAAATCAAAAAGAACTTTCGATTTTATTAATTGGCGCCCAACGTGGAGCACTTGTAACAAATGCAGAAATAAAAAGTATGCGACGCGAGTGGTAAAAAAAATAAAAATCTACAGTAAACTCACGCTAATGTCGGAAACAAAAAAGTACGCGACGTGAGTGTAAAAATTAATAAAAATTCCTGCAATACATAACACCCGATAACAAAGGTGTTTGCAGCGAATTTTAATAATCAAGTATCCCAAAAAAAAGGGAGAAAAGTGACATATAAATCAAAAATCTCAAATAATACAAAACGAGATTTCGCGATGTAAAAAATTTTTTTATGAGTTAAATTTTTTTAACACAAAAAAAAAAAATTTTTAATAACTGACACTAAAAAGATAAATAAAATTATCTATAAAGTTAATATTGAAGTTTAGAATTCAACTTCATAATAAATAAAAGTGTTAAATAATAATTGTGTTTGACAATATTTACGAATTGTTGCACAAATCAACAATTGCAAATATCAATTGTAAAAGAGTAAAAACATACAATAACTATAAAATATAGTAAAAATAAGATATATAGATTTCAGTGCATAAAAACAAAAACTTTTGAATATTATAAAAATCAAAAGTAGTAATTTATTCATAATTAAACAATAATTAAAAAAACCGGTAGTAAAAATAATTTAAAACTAATGAAACGCACTTATTCTTACAAAATTAATTAAAATTACAATTACAACGGAAGTTGCAGTAACCTTTGGACCAACAACATTACGAGTAACAACAAAAACAATCACAATAAGAACTTCTCTACTATTGGTACTGATAGGAACAACACCATCTATAAACAAATTACTGGAGGTATTTCGTAATCAACACCAACATTATTATTTACCTTTTTATTTCATTTAAATAAATTTATATAAAAACACTGTAATAAAGATTGTATTAAAATACCCAATGCTTTAATCGCTGGTATTAAAACTAATTCTTTCAAGCACTATAACTGCGTTTACGCTGGGTGCGTTAAAAAAGAATATTTATATATATGTAACTATTAAATAAAAATATTAATGAATACTTGTATAAAAAATACATAATTAAATAATTTTTACGCAAAATCCTTAGTAATTTTCCCTTATATATATAAAAAAAAGCTCTGCAAAAATTTTTTTTTTGCCCTGTTTTTGGTTATTCGTTTTTGGATATTCGATATTTAAGAATCCTTAAAACTGGACGAAATTTTTATAAAATTTAATAAATTCCGCGTATCCAAGATGACAGAAAACACTGACCTCATTACGAGACTTATTGCTGCTAACACAGTTAGCCTTCAGGCAGAAATTAATACGTTAAAAAACCAGTTATTAGCCTTGACGAATACAAACGTAGTCACTGAATACAAAACTCAGACAATAGACGATAAAATAAAATGCGATGAATCCTTAGGTATAATCAAATCTTTACCCGAATTCTCTGGCAAAAATAATCTGTATGTAAGTTGGCCGCCAATAATTCTATTCATCTTTACACTAAAGGAAGTAAGAGATACTTAGCAGCTCTTACGATTCTACGTAATAAAATTATTCAGGATGCCAATGACGTTTTGACCAGCCATGGCACAGTTCTAAACTTTGACGCTATTGTTAGTCGTCTAGATTTCGCTTATGCAGATAAGCGACCCCTACACATTCTTGAACAAGAATTGAGTGTACTACGACAAGGAAGTCGTTCAATTATAGATTACTACAATTCAGTGAACCAGAAATTAACACTTTTAATAAACAAAACCATCATGACGCATGGTACAAATAGTAATATAACTAAGGTTGTTAATGATCAAAATCGTCAAAACGCTCTTCGAGTGTTTATCACGGGGCTGAATGCTCCATTATCCAATATCCTGTTCTCACTCTCTCCAGAGGATCTACCCAATGCCTTGGCAAAGGCTCAGGAATTAGAATCAAATAACATGAGAGCAAACTTCGCTTTGCATTTCAGCAGAAATAATGCTCACGATCACTTAAATAACAACAGGAATAATTTACGATTCCCTGTTAATAACAATTTTACCAACAACAGATTCTTTAATCAAAAAAGAACATTTAGTAAACCCGAACCAATGGAGGTTGATGACTCCAATCAATTTAAGCAAAATACGTATAATCAAAATAAACAATATAATCAATATCAAAGAGGTTTCTCACAGAATAATAATTTTAACAGAAATTATAACAATCGAAATAAAAATTTCCAAGGTGGACAATTTTATAATCCACAAAACAATTTTATAAAAAGAGAAATGGACAACAAAGTAAACAGTGGACAGCCTCCAGCTAAATATCAGAGGGTCAATAACATAGATGAGCGTGCTTTTTTAGACAAAACCACGACCTCCCATATGTCTTCGCGACCACAACAAAGTCCAAAAGAAGATTAAAATTCTAATTGATACGGGCGCAACAAGTTGTTATTGTTCGCCAAACATATTTGAAGTTAGGGAAAAATTAGTTATTAAAAAAAGAATTAGGACCATTAACGGTCACACAATAATAACCCATTTCTCAGAATTCAGTATATTTAATATAAAAGAATTTCGGACAGGTATCCAATATCTGACAAAAATGTTATTCTTTCCAATTTAGGAAAAGCAT